GGAATAAACACAAAACATTTAATAAAATTATTATATGGATAAATGACACAAGTTATATTAACGGCATAAAATTCCACTCAGAGTTGACAAAAACAGTAAATTTCAGGTGTTGCAATTCACTGGCACACTACTTGACTAAGTTTTTAGTAAATAAGAGAGTAAAAGGTAAAGGTTTAGCTTTAAGAAATAGGAGGAAAAGAAGATTAGTAAATTGGCACTTGTTTCTCACAAGTGCAAACCAGACCAGCACATCAGCATGTCAATCTCTCAGACATTTCCGTGGCTAGACTCCCTTCGACGTATCTCAGTAAACTTTGTCTACCTTTTGAAGTCTTCACGCAGAGAGACTGTAGGCAGGGTTTGTTCTTTTGAGAGAGTCGGCATCGGTCCGCCAAGTGGATAATGTCGCCTTGACAGCTCGGAGGGGATGCCTCTCGCATCCCCACCACTAGCCTCAGCGGGCTCCAGGCTGGCCGTCTCAGTCAGGTGCTTCTCGGGCAGTTAGTGACTTTCATCAGAGTTCACATCCATACTGCGGACTGTCCAGCCGGACAACCCAGGGAGAGAAGCAAACAGAATCCTCCGCTCTCCATCCAGACGAACAACGAACTACGAACTAACACTGTTAACTGGCGAGAACAGAAAAATTAGTTGTTTWGAGGAGGGAAAAAGATGGGAGGTGAGAAAGTAAATAACCTGGACTTCTCACACTTGGTTCAGCCAGCTGGTGTTGTTATCAGTAAAGAGAGACCTTGAGGCTGCAAAAGGCAGACTTCACCTTCTGTCTTAAAAATCACTTCTCTTAGGTTATAAATCAGACCTTTGCACGAATGGATTAATAATGAAATGAATAGTACACAATATTAATCATTAAATCAATTAAGGAAATGATAAACCATGACTAATACCAGTACTAAGAAAAAAGCATTAAAGCACATTTCAACTCTTTTTTCTTCACAGTGTTATACTCTGGAACAAAGAGAGATGCAAAGATTAATTCAATAAAACTTTGAGTAATGATTATATTGATCAAAACCTCTAATAGAAGATTAAATGAGATAATATATATAGGACTTTTGTCCTATTCACTTAAAGAAAAT